AATGGTTCTGTAAATTCTGAAAGTGCAAGAAATACTTACTATTATTCCTCATTACATCCCACCATTCTTCCAACAAGCTGAAAGTGACATACACGCTCCTCCTCCTCCTCCTCCTCACAACACTCTGAGGATTGAAAGATAACCAGCCCAAGCCCTCTCAGTTCCAGGCAAAGTAGTGGTTTAACTCTGAATCTCCCAAATCCCTGCTCAGCATTCCAGCTACACCACCACATTGGCTGAATCCTACATGCATGTGTGTCATTAGTGGGGTGCATACCAGAGGACAGAGGGGTGTGTTACTGGTGAGAAGGAGTGCCTTCCAGGTCTTGAGGCTCTGTTAGCTGGGTGGAAAAGCAAGTCTCCTCCTTTCCCACCCAGCCAGCAGCTCCATCAGACTCACAAAAGGCTGTTAAGGAGAAAAGATGGTTAATGATCCACACTGCTTGTCTAAAATACTAGATATGCCACTGCCTACATGGCTGTAGGAAGTTGCACTTGGTTGCAAAAAACTATATTGAGCTACCTGCTTGACCCCTAAATTATCAAACCCAGCACCATTTGCAATAGGCATCATGTATTTGTGTCTGGTGAAGTCTTTTCCTTGTTCTCTAATCCCCGAGAGTTCTGTTGCAAACTTCCTGATTCCAGACAGACATGCTTTGCTTTATTTTCCTTATTCACTACCCCGCCTTTCTCCCAGTGATCTTGAAATATAAATATTAAAATAAAATACAGCTAAAAACCACTAAGTTATAACATTAAATAACATAACTTTTTTGTGATTATACCTTTATCCAATATACTACTTTGGGGTGTAGAGAAATGGGAGAGAGACAAATATTGATATCTTAAGTCTACCTTGCTAGCTGGACAGAGCATTGAGACTGGGGACTTTGGAGAGGCCAGGTTGCAGATCCTCCAGAGGTGTATCTATGTGGGGGGATGAGAGCATTGCACTCCAAATAAGAATACTGATTCCCAAAACAAAGATTTTCTTTCAGTCCCCAAATTTCTAGCATTACAGGGAGTGTGACACTACAAATCATTCACACCTAGAATTCCTATATTTGCTTTCCCTTGGGAAGTTTCCCTGTCCCTTTGGATGCTTAAACTGTGTTTCCAAATTAGATGTTTAAGGGCCGATGCAGACTGGCCCAAAGGGCTGGCCTGAGGGTGGAGTTGGGACGAGGGGTCTGCATGCCAGCCGCCCTGACACCACGCGCCCAACCGCACAGTGTGTGGTGTCAGGGTGCCCCGTTGGCGCAGCATGCACACACGCTGTGCCAATGGGGCACAAAAGAGCAGTGGCGGTGGCTCTAAGGAAGGCTTTTTGCCACCCCAAAAAGCAGCAGCATTTTCCTGCTCTTTTTGGAACGGCAAAAAGCCGGATCGGGGCCGCGGCATGTGGTTACCGCAGCCCCAATCCAGCACTCCCAGGGGCAGCACAGAGGCGCCCCTTAGGGGCCATACTAACAGCAATACTAGAAATCTGGAAAATGAAGGAAAATTTCTTTGGATGGCATAATTCTTATTCAGGAGCAATGCCCTCATTTTGCATGCCCCACAGCAACACCCCTGAGATTTCCTCCCTTGCCCCACTGTTCCCACAGGCTTGGTAACATCATATGACAATGTCCCACACTTCTGGTGTCAACCGCCAAAGCACACCATCAGACTGCACTTTGAACACTGGCTGAATGCACCATTGCCTTCTTCTTCACCCTCAGCTCCTTTCCCCTGTGAATAGGCTTTCACCCCATCCCCACAGGCCAGGCATCCAGATTCAAGTCTAGATGCAGTACTAAAAGGTTGCAGTATGTGGCTTGAGTGGCAACTATTTATTACAACAGGAGTAAGCAGATTCCCAAGTTTGAAAGCAGGGTTTTGTTTTCTGCTAAGACACAAGAGACCCACGCTTAGAAACAAATGATACAGAGTCTAGAAGTTGAGTTTTCATTCCAGAACTGAATGGCGCTCACAGTCTATCTGCACAAAAATCCACTCCTGATAAGCCAAAGCTTACCATGTTTCATTAGTGGTAGAATTCAAAGATACAGCTGTGTTGGTCTGTAAAATCAATACATAAGGAGATCTTGTATTACCTTTGAAACTAACTGAAAGAAAGAAGTTGGTAGCATGAGCTTTCGTAGTCTTGTCAACTTCCTCACATGGATTTGGAGAGGTCTACTGAGGAAGTAGACTTAAGTCTATGAAAGCTCATGGTGACTATTTCTTTCTTTCAGTTAGTCCCAAAGGTGTTACAAGATCTCTTTACGTACATGTTTCAATACTTAGCATTTAGGACAAGTTTGGGAATCATTTTGTTCTGCTCTTGCTAGTCAACATTTTTATCAATGACTTGGATGAAGGAATAGAAGGCATGCTTATCAAATTTGCAGATGATACCACATTAGGAGGAGTAGCTAATACCCCAGTGGACAGGATCAAAATTCAAAGTGACCTTAATAGATTAGAAAGCTGGGCCAAAACTAACAAAATGAATTTCAGCATGGAGAAATGTAACGTACTGCACTTAGGGTGGAAAAATTAAATGCACAAATATAGGATGGGGGACACCTGGCTTAATGAGACTACCTGTGAAAGGGATCTAGGACTCTTAGTAGACCACAAGTTGAATATGAGTCAACAGTGTGATGCAGGAGCTAAAAAGGCCAATGCGATTCTAGGCTGCATCAATAGAAGTACAGTGTCTAGATAAAGGGAAGTAATAGTGCCACTCTATTCTGCTCTGGTCCAGCTTCACCTGGAATACTGTGTCCAGTTCTGGGCACCACAATTATAAAAGGATGTTGATGAATTGGAGCGTGTCCAGGAGGGCGGTGACCAAAATGGTGGACGGTCTGGAAACCATGCCTTATGAGGAAAGACATAGGGAGCTGGATATGTTTAGCCTGGAGAAGAGACAGTTAAGGGGTGATATGATAGCCCTGTTTAAGTATTTGAAGGAGTGTCATTCTGAGGATGGTGCAAGCTTATTTTCTGCTGCTCCAGAGAATAGGACCTGGAGCAAAGGATGCAAGCTGCAGGAAAAGAGATTCCACCTAAACATTAGGAAGAACTTCCTGACAGTAAGAGCTGTTCCACAGTGGAACACACTCCCTCCGAGAATGGTGGAGTCTCCTTCTTTGGAGGTCTTTAAAAAGAGGCTGGACAGCCATCTGTCGGGGATACTTTGATTGTGATTTCCTGCATGGCAGAATGGAGTTGGACTGGATGGCCCTTGTGGTCTCTTCCAACTCTACGATTCTACAATTCTATGAAAAGCAAGTCCCACATTTCAGCCGTGGAATGTTCATTCATTTATTTAATTTTATTTATTTAATATATATGCTGTTTTTCTCCTGGAAAAGAACCCAAAGAAGCTTATAGATAAAATATCTTTTTGTTGTTATTGTTGTGTGCTTTCAAGTCGCTTTCGACTTATGGTGATTGCCTATCACAGAGTTTTCTCGGCAAGTTTCTTCAGAGAAAATTTTCCATCGCCATCCTCTGAGGCCAAGAGAGAGTGATTCACCAAAGGTCACCTCAGCATGGCTGAGCCGGCATTCGAACCCTTATCTCCCAGTGTCCTAATCCAATGCTCAAATCACTAATAATAATAATAATAATAATAATAATAATAATAATAATAATAATAATAATAATAAAGTTTATTTATCTCCCGCCCCTTTGAGATCAATCGGGGCGGCTAACAAGAATAAAATATACAACTGTAAAATCTAATCCCCCCCTTAAAAAATTATTAAATCAATTATAAATTAAAATGTACAATAAAATACAACAATAATTTAAAAACGATTGCAGTGTGGCTGTGGTTCTTAAGACTAAAAACCTAGAAGCCCACACTGGCTATCTTAAAATAGTTTTAAAACTTTACAATAAAAAAAAATTAAAAATTATCTTGCTAAAACCATATAAAATTACATAAAACATACAAAAAGTTAAAAACATATTTATTTAGTGTGTGTATGTGTGTGTAATTAAACAAATATTTACTTATTGGTCCAGAAAATGACACCAGCTCACCTTCTTGAATATCCAGCGTGAATAATGCACTCGAGTCCCATCCAGGAAAAGATTAAGACATTTCAGTGCCTGGAGAAAGGAAAAAAAAATACTAAGTAATATAGGAGAAAGTGTTTGTTTTTTAAAAGACTACAAACAATAATAGAAGGTAGTGTGACATACTTTGCTTCTGGAGGCAAATCACATCCAGAATTTGTAAATTTTACTTTTTGGACACCTTTAAGACTAACCAATTTATTTCAAGACAAATCTTTGTGGGTTACAATGAGTGAATTGTGGTTCATCAGAGCTGATGATCAATTAAATTGGTCCTAAAGGTTACCACAAGATGTGATTTTTCTTTCCTTTTTTATATTGAAACAGGCTGCCTCATTTACACTATTTAACATTTTTGGTCTCCTCTTAAAATCACCTAGAAAGCATGACCTGCAGTTACAGCTGTAGTCCAAAGTGTCGTCAACAACAACAACAACAACACATATCCTCCAACATTTCATAAATAAAAATGCTGACACCTGTGTGAATTTGTAAGGCATGGGCTGAGTAACATTTGGGTGTGAGCAAAAGAGTGTAATTGAGTGCAAAAGTTAGAGGAGAACACATTAAACTAGTATTTTATTTAGAGTAACATCTGAATTTATGTACAAAATTAGGAGAAGGAACTATAACCAATAAATATGTTTGCATTTATATGCACAGCATGATTATAAATTCTCAGAATTATACTTTTCTCTCATGTTTATTGCATGAGTTCTGTGTTCACACCCACTCCTGTCTGCTCAGCACACTTCATATTTGTGTGTGTATGTTTTGTGTGCCTTCAAGTTGTTTCTGACACATAGCAACCCTCTCATGGGGTTTTCTTGGCAATATTTGTTCAGAGACGGTTTGCCATTGCCTTCCCCTGAGGCTGAGAGAGTGGGATTTGCCCAAGGTCACCCAGTGGGTTTACATGTCCAAGCCAGGATTCAAACCCTGGTTTCCAGAGTAGTAGTCCAACACTCAAACCACTATGCCACGCTGACTCTCATATAGGTATATAAAAAACACTTTTCCCACTGCATGTTAGGAAACTTTTAAAACCCCACAAACAACAGGCATTGTTGCTTGTGGGGCAATTCAAGTAATGTCTAGTTTAGTCCCATTGTTTTAGTCTTTTCTCTCTCGTGGGAGAGGTCTGCTTGACTTTGGTTGCCCCTTCTTGTATCTTTCCCAACATGGGTACAATATTCATTGGTGATGCTATAGAACATGCTCTACTAAGTATGTGCAATGACTGTTGTTGTTGTTGTTGTTGTTGTTGTTGTTGTTGTTGTTGTTGTGGACCTTCAAGTCATTTCTGACTTATAGAGACCCTATGGTGTGCCTACCATGGATTTTTCCTGGCAAGATTTGTCTTGAGGTGGTTTGCCATTGCCTTCCCCTCAGGCTGAGAGTGTGTGACTTGCCTAAGGTCACCCAGTGGGTTGCATGACCAAGTGGGGATCTGAACCCTGGTCTCCAGAGTCGTAGTCCAACACACACAACTACTATCCCATGCTGGCTCTCAATTCCAGGACACTTGAGGATTATGATTGACATCAACATTCCTAAACTCTGCCATCATCTCGCACTCTGGACATCTCAGCCCCTGGCTTATCAAATGCGAACCAACCCATCCATAGCCTCAATCATTTCACTGATGAAATCTGAGGCAAGTGTGGCCAAACAATGTCAGAGTGTGATCACAATGTCAAAGGTTATTCATGAGGAAGAAAACACAAGCTAGGAAAGAGTGCAGCAGTTTGCTTTTGGCTGAACCAACTGGGAATGGTGAGATTCTGCCCCCTCCTCACTTCCTTGCCTGCTGAATTAATGCTGCGCAAACTATTTTTGCAGGTTGAACCTGGTTTGCAGCAATGGTTGTAAGCTTGGGAGAAAGGGAGAAATTTGGAGAAGAAAGAAACTGCAACACTTTAAAAGCAGCTTAAAAAGTGGGAGGACAAGAGAATTAAGCAGGACTGTCCTGATCTGCCAAATTTGCACCCCCAAGCCTACCCAACTCCTCCCCAGGGCCTTGATCTCATTTCATGTTTGTTCCACTCTCCTAACACTGCAACAACATTGCCTACTGAGCACACAACACATACCTATCTTTCCCCATTCATAACAAGTGGGCTATATAATTTATGCCAAGCGCCTTTATGTTGTAGAACAAGTGAGTGTGGAGTTAAATGACTGTAACAGATTAGAAAGCTGGAGGTGCATGCTTATGAAATTTGCAGATGACACCAAGGGGCTGTACAGACTGGTACTAAGCACCAGGTTGGGGGTGGCGTGGGGGCATGGCGTTTGGATGACGCACACCCCGATGCCACCCCCAAGCCGGCATCATACCAGCTGCCTGACCACCCAGCGGGCAGTGTTACGATGCTTCTTTGGCGCAGTATTCACATGCTGCATACGAAAAGGAGTGCAGAAAAGTGCTGCCGTGGTGGCAAGGGTGCCCTTTTTCCAGGCCAAAAAGAAGCAGCATTGTGCCACTTCTTTTTGGCCTAGAAAAATGCTGCCGCAGCCCTGATCCAGGGCTCAAAGGGGCAGTGCAGAGCCGCTCCTTCAGGGCAGTCTGCTTCATCCCCAAATTAGGAGGAGCAGCTAATACTCCAGAGGACAGGATCACAATTCAGAAATTCAAAATTCAAAATGACCATAATAGATTGAAAGCTGGGGCTAAAATGAACAAAATTAATTTCAATAGGGAAAAATGGAAGGTACTGCACTTAGGTAGAAAATTTTTTAAATTGATAGATCTAGGGAGTTTATCACATGGGGATCATATTCGCTACCATCCCGTAATTAAAGCATCACATGATTAAAGCGTTAGTGTCGCGCTACAGCATGAAAGGATTTCACACACATCGCACAATAATGCAATGCTTTTCATACATGGCATGAGCATCCTGTCAATGGTTTGGAAGTATCGTTTTTGGGCATGAGCGCAGCAATTATAGTTGCATCACAGGAATTTACTTGCATTTATTTATTTCGGGGTTAATGTTTCTTCATCGTTTTGCCATCATGTGAGATCGCCATTTTAATATTTGCCCTTGTGACCAGCATAATGGCAAATATTGAGAGCATGGATACTGTTCTGTTGTTGATGCAGTATTTAACTGCAAGTTATTGGGTGTTGGAGAGGGAGCATCAGGAAAGAGGCAGGAAGATATTACGATTCCTGCGTGTGTGGAAACATCTCAGGAAGATCGGGGGAGTCACTTCCATGGACATACCTCACCAATGTACCAGAGTCACGTCACCAGTGGGTCAGGCCACAGGTGGTGAGCAACTGGTGGTCAGAAGAGGTGCTTACCTTCTGGGATGAGGATATGTGGCTAAGAAATTTTAAGATGTCAAAGCAGACCCTCTGAAATAGAAGATGCCCTCAGACCTTATCTCCAGGCAAGGGACACACTGATGAGGGCCATCACTGTGGAAGAGAGGGTTGCCATAGCCATTTGGGGGTGTTCCTGTCCCCTCTTGTACCAGAAAGTGGCTCACCAGTTCCAGATTGGAGTCTGTATAACAGCACAGATCTGCATCCAAGTGTGCCTGGCCATTGAGAAGGTACTTCTCAATGAAACATCTGCCTTGGAAAGCACCGTCAAGTATGTGCCTCAATGTTGGGTTTAAGGCATGCATGTGTGTGTGTGTTTGTGTGCATAGTAATACATATATTTTGACATCCATATATCTGTTTTTGTTTTATTATTCTATAAGCTGCCTTGAGTCCCAATATTGGGGGAAAGGCAGGATATAAATGAATAAAACACCAATAAAAGCAATCCCTCTAGGTCATTCTGGCAGGACCACCACATAACCTTTTCATCCTAAATAGTAACATACAGATCAAAGCTTAGAAAAGCTGCTTCTTATGAACTGCTTGCTGCTCTTGGCATCCTCCAGGCTTGGGGATATCAAAAGATGGCTTTGGGGTATTATGGGAGGCAGTGCATTACTAGGGTGTGTGGACCACACCTAGTAACATCCCAGAAGGTGGTCATGCCTTCCTCCCACTTTGCCTCCCCTGCTTTGTCGTGGTAGTGAGCTTCTGAAATGGGGACTGCACTGCCATGGTGCTGTGACTCTGTATTTCTTTATGTAACAATATCACGCGACAGCTCTTTCTGCAACTTTTTATTTGTCCAGAGGAAAGCTAATTGCTCTGCAGAGGGGTGGGATGTTAATAATAATAATAATAATAATAATAATAATAATAATAATAATAATAATAATAATAATAATATCTCCACACTGCTAAGTAAATATCCTATTATCTTACAGCGCTATATAGAACACATGCATACATCTCCTGCACACATCACAGATACATACAATCAAATATACTCACATCAAATATACATACTCATGGTGTGTATATTTGTTTTTGTTTTTAATAGTCCTTTTGGTTCTTTTGGACTTGTCTCTCTGGGTTGATTGAGATTCCTGGGCATCTACAGTGCAGGACACCAGGCAGGGAGCTGCTTCTTCTTCTTAAGTTTCAGGAAGCAATACCTGAGTAGTTGTTTCCATGGGCTACAAAATGTGTTTTTCTTTCACCGTTTTTTTTCCTGCCTGAAAGTGGAGCAAGGGAAAGGCATCTCTGTCCAATTGCCCTTTCCAAGGAATTCTGGTTGGCCTTAATGGCAAGATGAAGTTTTTTTCTGTTTCACGTCCATCTGTCTGCCATTTGCTGCTGAATAGCAGAAAAAAGTGAAAGCAAAACACATTTCGCAGCCCACTAAAACCACCACTCAGGTATTGCTTCCTGGAACTGAAGAAGAGGAAGCATCTCCCTGCCTGTCACCCTGCACTGTGGACACCCAGGAATCTCAATCAATCCAGGGAGACAGCTCTGAAAGAGAAGAAGACCCATCCTTCTGAGCAGCTTATTTGTGACAGTGTGTTGCTGTCTTCTGGTGATTCTGGCCTATGCTCCATGATGGAGAAGGCTATAAATTCACCCCTCTGTCTCTCCTGTCTGTGTTTTCAATTTCTGTTGACATTGCATCTGTGGTGACTTGTGCCCTTCTCTGTCCAGCATTTGCCCCGAGGACAGTGAAGCATGATGCACATTGGCATTAACATTATGTGACTACAATATAATGAAAATACATGCATACATAAACCCATTATCCCTTCACCCCTCCCTCTCCCCCATTCCCACTTACTTCCTACACTACTGTGTCTATGTTATCCAACTATTACAGTACACCCATTTATGCCTCCATAGTGAATCCATCTTTACAAACCAGCTTTTACACAATTAAATAAAGTGATTATCCACAACAAAAATTAAATATATAATTTAACAAAAATTATAATCAGAATTCTTCTAAAAATTATAATCAGGATTCTTCTATCTACAAATGCTTTCCCTGTCATCAAATTACCCCCCAAAATTAACCCATGGTTGTCATGTTTTCCAATAAATCTGTATTGGATATATTTTCAATAAAGTGGTCAACTTGTCTGATTTAGCCTGGTCCCATAAATTTCCTGTTCACTCCTCTATTCTTGGGATATCCTTCTGTCTATAATATGTAGCATTCAATATTATTTGCTGCTGTAGTGTTATAACAAATTTATACACAGTGTTCCCTTACCTAATTTCTTACTGAATCCCACTATATTTTACAGAAATAATTCTGGACTGGTTTTTATTTCTGACTTTGAAATCTTATTTACCCCCTTCCCTAAGTTTTGCCTTTGAGGTGGGGGTGGGGGCTTTCACAACCACCACTGGTGATGAAAGGGACCAAAATACATTTTACATTTCCAACAGTTAATATTTCTATTAGTATACATTTTTGCCAATTTAGCTGCTGTGAGGTACCTCCCTTTCTTTGGTTTGAAATAAATTACCATCAGACTGTTAAAAGAACTATATTTTAAAACTTTCAACCACACCTTCCCACGTTGGTCCTGATGAAATTTCATGTCCCATACTTCTTGGCCCTTCCACCATGCATTCTTCAATTTGTTCCTC